GCACCAGCTATTTTTCAGTATTCGGCATTTATTACGTATTTTCCGCCGATGACGTCATCAGCGTCCAATAATTGTTTTTTTGGATCGAACTTGCATCCAAAAAAAAAATTATTGGACTCTCTCGTGCCCAAACCCTTGCGCGGCCAAAAGCTTGAACCTATAAGCGCGCGAAAAAACAAAACAAACAATGGCCTACAGCAGATTTGCTTCGCTGAATGAAAGTGAACTCTCCAAATTATTGGCAGATAAGGATAGTGAAAGCACGAAAAAAGCCACAAAGGGGTAAATAGAAGTAGAAATAGAATATTTAGCTGACCTTTGATTTTTTGCAAGGTGTTTGATATTCAAATTGTACTTTTCCTACCTCATGAACAGGAATCGTTTTATACGTTTCTCATGTCTTTAAATGTATAATAAAACAATTATTGGATTCGGCTTTCGCATGATATCAAGAATTATTCAGACCTCGGTCTATGTTATCCGCCTCAGCTTCGCTTCGGCAGATAACATTGACCTCGGTCTGAATAATTCTTGATATCATGCTCAGCCTCATCCAATAATTGCTTATTATTACTCAAGTTGTATCAGACGTTGTTATTAATGAAATTGAGGAAGCTACGAAGCCGCTTCAACATCAAATTGATAGTTTGAAAGATGAACTTAACAAAGCTCCTATAACTCATATGATTAATTCTATTTCTTTAATTCTTGTGTGGTATTTTTCTCTATTTAAGATCTGTGTGTATTCACTTGTGCAGCCCGGGGTAAGTTTGTTGTGTAAAAAGTTTTGCAATGGGGGTTAGCCTCGAGATTTATAGAGCAGCTATTGGGGTTTTCAATCAATGTTTTGTCTGTTTGTGTAAACTGACGATATTGTTTAATTTTAATAGCAACTGGCTAATTGTTATATTTGTGTGGCTATGTATATTACTGATTCTAGCTGGAGACGTCGAGATAAACCCCGGCCCTCCACATAATTTCACCTTAAACATGGGTCATATAAATGCTAGAAGTCTAAATTGCGCTGACAAATTTGATGAAATATGTTCTGTCACTCACAATGTAAATTTGGATATTTTAGCTGTTTCAGAAACCTGGTTAAATAACAGTATTTCTAGTGACACTTTAAATATTCAAGGTTTTGCTCCTATAATTCGTTTAGATAGGCAATGTGGTCGGAGGGCTGGTGGTGTTGCTCTTTTTATTCCATCAAACATTGTATATAAACGACGCTTAGATCTTGAAAATTGGGAATTTGAACTGCTTTTTGTTGAATTTAAGATTAGTAACACTAAGTTTGTTTGTGGTGCCTGTTATCGACCACCAAATTATAGCGCTGAAAACAATTTAGCTTTCTTAGATCACTTGCAAAACTGTCTGGATAGAATATATTTAGAACCTAATACCTTTGTTGTACTCCTTGGGGATTTCAATGCTCATTTTGATGAGAGTTCCTTATATAGTTGGATGGAATGTAATTGTCTGTATCAGGTAATTAAAGAACCAACACGCGTGACTTCGCATAGTGCTACGTTGTTGGATCTTATAATAACAAATTACCCAGGATACTTTGTCTTCTCTGATGTTTTAAGTCCTCCTAGTGGCTGTGATCACTCGTTTGTTTACGCTCGTATAAATGTTTTCCCTGAGAAACAAAAATGTTATAAACGTCGGATTTGGGATTTTTCCAAAATTGACTACACTGTACTACATACAAATCTACTTAATATTAATTATGAGGACATTTGTATGAATACTGATAATATTGATGACTTGTATTGTAAATGGTATGAAACATTTCGCGAAGCATTGGAATTTAGTATACCGAATCGGATAGTAACAATTCGTCCAAGAGATAAACCGTGGATGAGTTCTGATATTAGAAAGGCAATTCGTAAGAGAAATCGGTTATTGAAATACTATTGCCGTCATAAAAGTCTGATAGCTTGGGAAAACTACATGGTGCAAAGGAATTTGACAACATTTCTCATACGGACTGCTAAGAAGAAATACTATGCAAATCTCAGTGATAAATTACAAGATCCAGAAATAGGCCAAAAGAAATGTTGGGGCATAATTAAATCACTTTATGGAAATAAAATCCAAAAATACCTGCACTACTTGAAGGGGATCGGATGATAACGGATGCGAAAGAAAAAGCTACGTTATTTAATGACTATTTTGGTTCTGTATGTCAGATTGAAAGTGGTGACACTGCTTTACCGAGTTTATCTGCTTTTCAAAATTCAAAGTACCTTGCTAATATTTTGCATGCGTGGTGTAAGACGTGCTTTATATTGCTCTGCTAACACATTTATTCAAAATTCGAAATTTCTTTATGGGATTGTATTACTAAAGCAACTTTGATTTGCCAGCAAAATGTTGTGGTAATAATCGAGGTCGTAGCAGTTGTTTTCATTCGACGTCTTTCATAATATCTCACTTTCAAATCAAGATGGCTACTGAAATTAGTCGCGAAACTAGAAGCAGGTCGGAAGCAAGGAAGGAGTTTGATAGTTATGTTCAATCAGAAGCTTTTGTATCCTTACTTGATGATGCTATATCCAAGCAGTTTGAAAAGTTTTTCTCTTCTGAAGATTTAAAAAAAATGTTGGTGGCGACTACAACGTCTGTGGTTTCTACAGTTGTTAAAGAATCTGTACACGCCTCTCTGGACGAAGTGATTTGGGAAAATGTTATGCCTTTAAAGAAGCAAATTGAAGGTTTATCTGCACAGCTGAACGAAGTTAAAATGTATGCAAACGAGAATGAACAGTATTTCGAGGCGCTGCAATATTTGTATTTTTGGACTTCCAGAGCTTGAAGATGAAAACTGCTATGAAGTCGTTACTGAATTTTGCAAGACGAAGCTTGGCTATAACCTTGAGCTATGTGAAATTAACAGGACACATCGTGTGGGAAGACTAAGGCCTGGCAAACAACGAGCTATTATTGTCAAATTCTGTTCTTATCAAAGCAAGATTAAAGTCATGAAGTGCAAAAAAAATCTCAAGGGAACTTCAATATATGTCAATGAAGATCTGACTTTTTTTAATAAAGAATTGTTTAATTATGCACATACTAATCTGAAAGACCTTCCTGTCTGGTCAACGGATGGAAAAGTTTTGATAAAACAACAAAGTGGGTGTATTGTTAGAGCTAAAACCAAAGATGATGTTAATGGATTAAGGGATAATTAATTGCTGGCAAACACAGTATATAATTGTAGTATTATTACTTTCTTGAGAGTTGAGTGCTAAATTCCATATTATATAGTAATAATATATACTTATTTATATCATATTTTGTTTAGTACGACTTCTTGGCAGCTTGAGGTAAGTGATTTCAACTATTAAATGGGGGTTAGCTTGGAAGTCTACAGAGCAGCTGTCGGGTTATTTAATGGGAAAATGGTTTGTATATGTTATAAGGTGTTCATTTCATGTGTGTTGTCGTTAATCAATCTATTGGGTGGATGCATAATTACGCTAATCGTACTATTTAGTCTATTAATTTTACTCTCTGGTAATGTCGAAACTAATCCTGGTCCTCCCACAAATGTCACTCTTAACATTGGGCATATTAATGCAAGAAGTTTAAATGATTCTGATAAATTCGAAGAAATTGTTTCTCTGGTTCTCGAACACAAATTGGATATTTTTGCAGTTTCCGAAACGTGGTTAAATAACTCTATTTCGAGTGATTTATTTAATATTCCTGGTTTCAGTCCAATGTTTCGCTTGGATAGGAGTGATGGTCAGAGGGCTGGGGGTGTCTCACTATTTACATCATTGTCTATTGTAGCTAAATGCAGGTTTGATTTGGAGCAGAATGGCTTAGAAGTTCTCTGGGTTGAAATGCAGATTAATCGGCTTTTTTTCGTATGTGGTGTTTGCTATCGACCGCCAAATTCTAACCAAGCTAGTAATATTGCGTTGTTAGATTATTTGCAATCTTGTTTAGATCAAATATATTTGAAACCTAATACACATGTTTTACGTCTTGGAGATTTTAACGCTCATTATGATATTGAAAATCATGTAGATGGTAGTGACTTTGGAATAACATTATACAGATGGATGGAATGCAATAACCTTTATCAAATAATTAATGAGGCAACTCGGGTCACAGCATATTGTGCAAGTTTATTGGATTTAATAATTACAAATTTCCAGGATTTTTTGTTGATTCTGGCACTGCAAGCCCTCCTAGTAATTGTGATCACTCTTTCATATTTGCTAGAATGAATATTTCTTTAGCTAAACCTCGATGTTATAAACGTTTTATATGGGACTTACAAAAAATAAATGAGGAAAATTTAGTTAATGCTCTTAACTGTCCACACTGGGATGATATTTTTGTTGATGTTGATGATGTTGATGTTTTATATAATAGATGGTTGGTCTGTTTTCGACGTATTCTTGAGACGTATGTACCTAATAGGATTGTTGTTGTTCGTCCTCAGGATAACCCTGGATAAATTCAGAGATTTGAAGAGCTGTAAGGAAGCAAAATAGATTATTAAAAATATTCTGTCAAAATAGGGTTCCCGAGAATTGGGAAGTCTATAGACTTCAAAGAAATTTCACTACATCACTTATACGAAGACGTAAAAAGTCTTATTATAACAATTTGAATAATAAATTGCAGGACCCGTTGTTGGGATAAAAAAAATGGTGGGGCTTAATTAAACAATTTTATGGGAATACAATACAAACAACTGTACCAATTTTATTGGAAGGTGATTGTTTAGTTACTGACCCAAAGGATAAAGCAACTTTATTGAATGATTATTTTTGTAGTCAGAGTATGCTGCTAAATGAAAATGCACCGTTACCAAATTTAATAGAGTTGCAAAATGCTAAGACGTTGTCAGTGGTTTCTACTAGTGAAAATGTATGGGGTGCCATATCCGCCAAAATTATATAAATACGATATTATTAATTATTTTTCATATTATTATTCAGAATATTTTTATTATTATTAGAATATTTTATTATTATTAAGCTTATTTTTGTTATTATGCAGCTTATTTTTGTTATTATCCAGCTTATTTTTATTATTATTCAGCTGATTTTGTATTATTCAGCACATTTTTATTATTATTCAGCATATTTTTATCATTATTCAGCTGATATTTATTATTATTTACCTTATTTTTATTATTCAGCTTATTTTTATTATTATTCAACATATTTTTATTATTATTCAACATATTTTTATTATTATTCAGTTTATTTTATCATTTTGCTCATTTTTATTATTCAGCTTATTTTTATTATTCAGCTTATTTTTATTATTCAGCTTATTTTTATTATTCAGCTTATTTTTATTATTCAGCTTATTTCTATTATTCAGCTTATTTTTATTATTCAGCTTATTTTTTATTATTCAGCTTATTTTTATTATTCAGCTTATTTTTATTATTCAGCTTATTTTTATTATTCAGCTTATTTTTATTATTCAGCACCAATTTTTCATTAGCCAGAGGTCTGTGACTAGCGCGGCCATGTGGACCGGAAGTCATTGAAAATTCACTTTTCAGCACACGTTCAAAATGGCGGAAAATTATGTTGGTGATAACTTGAATTTGAGAGAAATGGTGTATAGAAAACTGTGTTCTGTGGAGCAACTACTTACAGAGCAAACCAATAATAACTTGTTAGATATACCTAGTTTTTTAGAAACAATTGAAACGTTGATGCAATGTGTTGTTTTGTTGGACTCTTTTGAAACAGTTTCAGAAAATGTTTTGTGTTGTTTAATGCAAGCACACATAGGCGTACCGGGCGGGGGGGGGGCGGTAGCCCCCCAGTTTTTTGGGCAGTCGGGCAATATTCGATCAACAGTCGGGCAATTTTGGTTTGTAATAAAAATAAATGGCACTAATTATGTCAATTTAGTCGGAAATTAAGTCAATTTTGTGGTAAATTTAGTGTTGTTTGGAAAATTTGTGTGATGTTCCGAAAAAATTTTTGTATGTCCGGAAAAATTTTTGGACCCCTAAAATGGTACACTGACCTTTTTTGGCGAAGGGGGGGGGGAGGTCGCCGAAATTATTTTTCCGGAAAAAATTTTTTCGGTACTAGTCGGGCACAATCCCGAAAAGTCGGGCAAATTTCTTACCGCCCCCCTAATTTTTTCCTTCCGGTACGCCCATGCAAGCACATAACCTGCTGTCGAGGAACACTAACGATATCAGAAGAAATAACAATCAAGCACAACTCAATGATGGCACTAGTTCGGTTGGTCGTCCTTCGTTAATTATTTCAAGGAAGCAAGTCGAGTATTTGATGGATTGCAATTTCACAGTCAAAGAGATGAGTGACATACTCGGCGTATCCAAAAGAACAGTTGAAAGAAGAACGAGTCAATATGAGCTAACAAACATGAATAGGTTCACTGCAATAAATGATGAGCGATTGGATGCCATAGTGAGTGAAATCAAAAGCTCGTCACCGGATTGTGGTTCCAAATTATTATCTGGATATCTTCGAGCAAGAAATATCCATGTTCAAAGAAGGCGTGTTAGGGAATCCCTAACTAGGGTTGATCCATTGGGTATTCAAGCTCGGCGTTGTAGAACAGTTCATCGAAGGGTCTATAATGTTTCACGTCCTCTTGCTTTATGGCACTTTGACGGAAATCATAAACTAATACGCTGGCGCTTGGTTGTGCACGGATGTGTTGACGGGTATACCCGCATACCTGTGTACTTAAAGTGCAGCAACAACAATAAGGCGAACACTGTTCTAGCACTTTTTGTAAAGGCTGTAGATGATTGGGGCCTCCCATCAAGAGTGCGATGTGACAAGGGAGGAGAGAATGTCGATGTTGCTCGTTATATGATTAATCATCCGATGCGAGGGCTAGATCGTGGGTCTGCAATAACTGGCAAAAGTGTACACAATCAGCGGATAGAGCGGCTGTGGCGTGATGTCTTTCAGGGAGTGTTGAAACCGTTTTACATTCTTTTCTATTTAATGGAAGATTATGGCATACTAGATCCTTGCGACGAAACTGACCTATGGTGTCTTCATTATGTATTTTTGAAGGAAATAAATGATTGTTTATCTCGTTGGGTTGAAGCATGGATACGACATCCACTAAGAACTGAGCACAATCGAAGCCCTTTGCAGCTTTGGATCACTGGCATGCGTTGGAGTAGTATAAATGTCCCTCAACCAGACAGCAATAACTGGGACCTTTTTGGTATTGATTGGACTGGTCCTATACCCATGGGGGATGAAGCCATTGCAACTACACTGGAAGTCCCGGAAACAGTATTTCCAGTGGCCGATGAAATGAGAATTGAGTTGAATGAAACTTTATCCGAAATAAGCAGCCATCACGGAGATGACATTATGGAACAATATTACGTTGTACGAAATTGCGTTAGAGCAATAATTTCAGAACAACGTGGACAAACAACATAGTGAACATACTAGGGCTGTTTGATGTATACCCTGGATTCCAGAGCCTTCGACAGTAAATAATAAATTGAAACGTCGCGAAGGCTCTGGTTCAACGGGAAGATTCTTTGATTAAACCGCGCCAATCACAAAACAGAATTAGTGGTTTTAGTACAGAATCTGTTTAATCAAAGAATCTCCCCGTTGAACCAGAGCCTTCGCGACGTTTCAATTTATTATTTACTGTCGAAGGCTCTGGAATCCAGGGTATTTGATGTACAGATATACATAAAATATAAGTATAAAATCCAATACAAGTACATGAAATCACAATGGGAAACAGTTTAGTAAAAGTTTATTGAGAACAATGGTATATATATATATATATATATATATATATATATATATATATATATATATATATATATATATATATATATATATATATATAATTCAATAAAGGCTGTTTTTTGCAACAGAGATGAATTTACTTGGAGGAAGGGGGGTGCACCTCCTCCCTAGTCCTGGCCCAGAGTGGGAGCTATATTTCATGATAGAGAAAAAAATATTAGCGAACTGTGAACAATTACAATTCAGATACAAGACTAGCGATGGGCGGGCGGTGCACATCACCAATGCAACTCGGAACCAGAGCTGGCAGAACACCACACCAGATCATGCTGGATCAACCTTAAACTCTAAAACTTTAAACTTTAAGCATGCTAAGCATAATGGGAACATCATTTAATTAGTTTAGAAATCATACATGGGACTCCCTATTCACTCACAAGTAGATGCAATCTTCAGCTAATAAACTTGAAACTTGCGATCCAACTAAGCTTTACACGCTTAGAGTTTAATGTTTGCAAAGACAACCGTTTGAATTATATATATATACGTATATATATATATATATATATATATATATATATATATATATATATATATATATATATATATATATATATATATATATATATATACCGGGTGGCCCAAAAAAAAGTACTCCTGTTTGATTCGTAATAACTTCTAAACAAGTAAAGTTTTTAAAGAGAAATAACTTGCATTAAATAGAGGAAGGACTAACTTAGATTTTTATATATTACAGTTGTATTTAACTTAAAAATTCACGGAGATATTAATGTTAAAAATGGGGAGCATATTTTGGAATGTGTCTAAAATTAGCGAAAATCGGCATATCAAATATTAACTCCAGCGTTTGTTTGTTTAATGACATATTAGGCTAACTTGTATTTCAGCGAATTATCGTTAAGGTTTGTAAGGGATATGGCGTAGATTTAGACATCTTACATGTAAGTCTTAGCTCATTGTTTCCTGAAACATGAACGTTCGAAATTATGCAAGTATTTAATATTAGGTCTTTGCAAACTTAAATGTACATGAAAGACTGACCATGGAAGGCAGGCGCTTAAATTTTTCGTATTCTTAAATAGCCTAATTTTTTTATGTTTTTAATGGGTTCAAACAGACTGAGTAGATTATTTCTCGGTTAGAGCAGGATGAATATTCTTTATTGAAGGAAATAATATTGCTTTTTGCAAATACACATCACCGTATCAACGCTACTATTTTGTTACGTTTTGTTCCAAAAATGTTGCATGTCTCTGGGGAGTTGCTTAATTGTTATGTCTTATGGAGTTGTATGGTTTGATTGTGTTTCATATAATTCTCAGTTTACTCCATGAACTTGCCAAGATTAAGAAACGGCACAAGAGTTTGGGTGTTCTTAACAAGATTTCAGAACGTTGCAGAAGTTAGAAGAGCTTCACAATTCCGTTGTGACAGCATGCCCTAATTCAGAACTACGAACGATCCAATGACGATCCTTCGCGATGCAGTGGTCTCATGAAATAAGGAAACGTATTCGTGCTAGGAACACACGCGAATCTCGGACGAATGAATCTTGCTTGTATTTTGTAGATATAATAATACTTTGTTTCATAATAAACAATTTGTCAAGTGTCATTTATTTACTGGTAATAGTGCATGTTTCAGTCGGGCAAATCTTGATTAATATTTGATACGCTGATTTTTGCATATTTCAGACACATCCAGAAATATCCTCCCGAATTTAAAGATTAATATCTCCGTGAATTTTTAAGTGAAATACAACTGTAATATATCAAAGTCTAAGTTAGTCCTTCCTCTATTTGATGCAAGTTATTTCTCTTTAAAAGCTATACTTGTTTAGATGTTATTACGAATCAAACAGGAGTACTTTTTTTTGGGCCACCCGGTATATATATATATATATATATATATATATATTATATATTATATTATATATTATATTTTGGTTCAGGTCTGCGATTTGAAAATGGAAAATACGCGATTATTTTAAGTAACAATTATCCAGCAGGAGCCATTGGCGAAATAAAAGTCAGCAACCCACCTGCCGAGTTATTTACACTCTCGCCACACCATCAACAGTTCTGGCAATTGATCGGAACTCTGGACAACTTAACCTATTAGTGGATATCGACCTTCAACACAACAACTCAAAATACAATATTAGTGCCAGAAAAGCGAATGACGCGGCGTTCACAGAAGTGCAACTCTTCGTTCTTCCCCTTAATCATGGTGATACATTTGCATTGGATGCTGTTAAGTCAGTGCGCAAAAGTCTGGATAAGAAGAGCACCGCCCCCACAATCTTTATTCCAGCAATTTTGGATGTTATATTGCAACAACTCGCAGCGGGTTATCCCGCCACTAACACTTCAAAAGCCGAAGAGATTGTGACAATGGCAATTACAGTTGTAAAATCTGCTGTTATTCACGTTTATGGTAGGGTGCCTGGAAATTTTGTGATCTTTATCATGTTAAAGTAAATTTACAAACGATTTTTTGTATGCTAGGACAACCTCAAACCTGACTGATGACTCACAGTAGTCGTGCTCAATAGATGAGTACGTAATGAATTTCACTCCAAGGAAACAAATTAAACTACAACTTTACTTTCGCAGAGAACGATATGGTCTTACTTTTGCGAAGAGCGATATGGTCTTGCTGAATTATTACAAATTAGCATAGCAGGTTACATTAGATGGTTTCGCCCACACCAATAGTAGGAATATACTTTGTGCATAACAAATAAACACATACATGTAAAAAAACAATATTAATAGTAGTATTGATATTAATTTCTTACCTAACCTTGAAAGTCTTTTTTCTTCAATTGAATTTCTAAATTAGTTTATTCACCTTTTTTCTCGCAACCAGAAAAACTGTTCGGTGAAGGTGCAGTCCTTGGCTTTTTGCGAAACTCTGAGCTCTTCTCGAGTGCAGAAATCATCAAAATGAAGAAAGAAGCACTGTGTACAGAGATCACTACTCCAGTAACTTGCCTGAAGAAACCGAGATATCGGCGCATTGATGGAAAGTGCAGCAACCTTAAGTATCAAATTGCTGGTGGCGCGGGAACACCACTTGAACGAATTCGACCAGTGGTAATTATTATGTGTGTTGATCATTAATTATATACCGCATATACTATAGGCAACAGAATGGCCTCGAATTCAATTTTGCAAAAAGAACCATGAACGAGTGTCTGTTTCATGGGCCGTTGTCAACATTGCACAAGCCAGAATGCGAAAAACAAGTTCAACTTGAAGTCCTTGGGAAAGCTCGTGGATGTATATGTTTTGAATTTGCGTCAGAATTGACGTTCCTCAGCAACACTAATTTTCAGAACGCTTTTCTTTTAATATTATTCAGAAAATTGAAAGAACTGATTACTTTTGTGGGAACTAATTATATTTTTGCGACTCTATTGTATTTTGGAATATAAAACACTTCCCTCAGCCAATCAGATTTAAGAATTTTGTAATGTGCATTAATTAATATAACGTAAGCCTACCATTTTTCCCTTTTCATAATTGCATTGTTATTAACTGCTTAAATATGTCGGAAATATAAATGGACAAAACATTACCATCTTGTATTAGGAATATTACCATCTTTTATCAGGAATATGACTAGTCTGACAGTTTTAAATCTAGTTTAAAGACTTATCATTTATTTAGACAGGCTTTTAACGAAAACACATAGGTTGTACAATTTTTAATTACTAATTAGATTTAACTGTAATTTTTAACTATTTTAATCTTTAATTGTAAAGCGCATTTGATCATATTTTAATGTAATTTGCGCTTTATAAATTATTATTATTATTATTAATTACCAATAGAAATACTATGATGCTCATGGTCTGAATGATCCAGTGGGTTTTCCCAATCAGCGAGACCTGCCTAGCTTACCCTCGCCTTTCAACATTACCAAAAATTTTATTAAAGATGAAGTAGCTTCATCTTCAGATCCAGAGCTCTCTCCACTTATGATGCAGTTTGGTCAGTTTCTGGACCATGATTTGACATTGTCTGCTGAAGAATCGGGAGGCGCCGCCTGTTTGAGAAGAAGGTATTTATAATAAGCAGTTACTCAAGTAATTTTTCGCCATGCAGAACTAGAATGAACTTATACTTTCACTTTGTGCCTTCTTAAATCCTTCCAATAAAGTGATAACTTCGTAGCGCTGACGAGACAATGTAACTCTTTCACTGCATTCTGAGATATGTGGTTCTCATAATTTGACGAAGTCGATGTTATTTATATACTGATGAACTATACAATCCCCCTTCCAATGTGCAAGTGAAGGATCTTCCTTGTAGGAACATTGAAATATATTATAAAATTGTTTTTTTAATATAGTACATCTTAATATTCTTTTAGCTGTGATGGATCTGAAACTGACTACGACGCTCCATGCTATCCAATTCTTCCCCTAGAAAACAGCCATCCACCGTGTATAAAAATGATTCGATCAGCGGCCATGTGCCAACGGGATGGGTATCCTGAGGAAAGGCAGCAAATTAACGAAGTTACAGCTGTGATTGACGGAAATAACATTTACGGATCTGCGGACAAGACAACTGACAATCTGAGAGACAAGAAAAGTAAGTTAAAGGATAATGGCAACAAAACTTTTATTGTCTCATTTCAAAGAACGCTTAAAATTATCTCCAAAATCTTGTTACAAATTTTTCAAATGCTTTTTGATCCTTGAAATATTTTCACCGGAAGCAATGAGCTTTCCGCCATCTTGGTGTATTAAGGATATGCATATTACGTCACAAGTGGGGCCAGGTAAGTTTTTATCTCGACAGCCAGTGATCAATATGAACCCAAAACTCATTTTTGGTTTGTATTTCAAATTTAGTGAGGTTAAGAATTAATCCAAGATGGCGGACAGCTCATCGCTTTCGGTCAACATTTTTCGAATGTTAATCTTGATATGAAAAACCTGTAATAACGTTTTACAGATAATTTTAAACGTTCTTTCAAATGAATTTGAATTTGAATTTATTTAATTAGTTATCAGCTTTACAGTGACAACAGGAGAAAGAAACAGGGTAAAGCCCCAATTGAAATCAAACCCCCGATGGCTAAAAAACATGATAAAATATTAAATTAGTGGAATATATTACAGTAATTAGTCTAAAATTAGTTAAGTACGTCTTTCGTCTGGAAGAATATAAGAATCAAGTTTCATCGTATAATAGTCTGAGATAGCTTTTTAAAAGTTACCAAGTTTGTTCAACTTTTGATATCTAGTGGTAGTGAGTTCCAGGTGGAAACGACACGGTGGAAATAGGAGTATTTTAGGTAATTTTGAGTTGCTCGCTGTGTCTTGTAATTCAGGGAGGAAAAGTTACGGGTAATTACACGATGTTGGGCAGAGCACTGTTGTAGGGAGGAATGATCTAGAACTATTAAGCCCTAGTCTGTGTTTGTATAAAAGAATCGTGTGTTTCGGATCTCTTCTATACTTCAAAGGTAACAAGGATAACTTAAGGAGGCGCTGTTTGTAATTGAGATTGTCAGGATAATTTAATATAAATTTTGTAGCCCTGCGTTGCACGTTTTCCAATATCATCTGGTATTTGATGGTGTATGGTGACCATATTCCATTATGGGGCGTACAATTTTGGCAAAATAGGAGTTTGCGGGTTTCGGAATCCAGAAAATCCCTGCACAATCTTTTCACGAGACCCAAAGTGCGATTGGCTCGTTTGGATAAATGAGACAATAATTTCTTTTGTTGCCATTATCCTTTAAGTCAACATTTCATAGTACATGGTTTTTTGTAGATGGAATTTTAGAGCATAAATTTCCACACACTTTTGAACATAAGCAGGAACAGGTGTGAAAAATGAAACTATAAGGCATCTGGCGGAAATCCAATAGCAGCGTGCTAACCAACTGAGATCATGATAAGGAGCGCACATTAGGGGATTTGAGGGGGAGGGGGGGGGGGGAAGGGTTTGGTTGGAGTGTAAAATATCCAAATTCTTCAACTCAGTTGCCGGAAAGTGCAGGAATCGAAGTGGGATTTCCGAGCCT